TTTTGCACATACTTTCTACTTTTTTCCACTTTCTCTCTCTAACTTTTGTCTATGATTGTACTTTTCACTTTTATTAATGTACTTCATTCACTTTCTCCTCCTATTTCTTAAATACCGTGAAAAAACACAAACAAGAACTATATTATGGGACGGAGGGAGTATATGCCTACATAGCAAAACTAAGCTTGACATAAATACATGCTTATGACCCAGAGGCATAGGCATATTTTGTGCTAAACCTAAAGAATAAGCCCTGTCCTTGAATCTTCAAGTCACAAACTAAACTTTTGGTAATTATACTTGAACTTTAAGCAATTGGCTGAGGAAAATAAGAACATTTGCAAGTGGAAGTGATCTTGGACCAAAACTTCTCTGTGCATTCCTACAACCCTTCCTTCAAGTTAAGCTCTTAGGTATCCTTCTCAGACATTGCTACAAGCCTGCAAGGGCACAGTTTTCCAAACTTCTCTGTGCATTCCCACACACACACATGCTATTTTTCCCAACATACAGGTATCACAAGTCAGTACTCTAATGAAGCCAAACAATGATGACCTTCAGTTTTTATACTAGATATGTGATATTAACAATAAAATCCCTATGAAATGTGTACTTCAATTCTCAAAAAAACAATACAGAAGCCATCTGCCACATAACAAGACAATGACCAACTTAACATAAAAGATCGAGAAAAGTGTAGAGAACAAAATATTTCCTCCGTTCTTATTAATTGCAACAATAGCAAGTAACTGGCTAGCACAAATTTTTAGAAAAATTGAAAGGGAGACAAAAAAAAAAAACCCATGTGATTAGATAGAAGAGAGAGAAATAAAAGTAAACAAGTGGGTTGGGCAAGGGTAAACTTGTAATTAATAGTGTGAATACATCCTAACATTGAATTGTGGCAATGATTGTGAAACATCCCAATTTAGCATTATTGCAAATTATTTAAGAATGGAAGAAGTACTTAATTAGCAAAAAAAAAAAAATTAAATCTTGATTTGAGTCAATAATGTGGACCTATGGAATATATTAAGGAGACCCCTTGGCATTATCCTTGTCCTGCCTAAGCACGTAAGCATACAGAGAGGGGGTGGGGGGATAAAGCAGCAATGAACCCAAGATTTTTTATGAGAGTCAACAGACTGAAAACTATTGCAGTAGTGTTCAAGATAGATGCACAGAATCCCAACTGCAATGCAACAGCTATCAATACTGAGCATACCCATGAATGAAGAAACAACTGAAGATTGTGAAGGGATAAAAACATGTTGCAAAAAAGTTACTTTCAATCATCACTCTCTCTTATTGTTGCCATGATCCAGACATGCGATAAAAATTTACCCAACAGCCCTTGCCACTAAATATTGAATAGGCGCATTTATTAATGAAAAATGTATAAAGTTACACTAGTTATCACTCTATCAGTATCACACTTTAGATACTTTTGATTTGGTTACAGGCACTCTAAGGATGACATTGACAATGAATGACATCACTTAGAGGGAGGAAAATTTCTGTTGACATTGGCAATGAATGTCATAAGCCTTTTGAGCATTATCACCATCATATATCTAATGGAATTTTTGGTTACCAGAATACAAGAGAAAGGGAGTTGAGGACCTCAAACCCTTCTGTTTCGTTCCTCATTTTTCATTCCCTTTCTCCACTTTTCCAGATTCAAATTTCCCCTTGTACTTTCTTGGTGATTCTTCCAATCCCCCACCCCCAGATTTGAAACCCCAACACCAAATAATCAAATAGCGAAGAAAAATTTGATTTTATTAACATACCTATGTCAGCTATTTTATTGAGAAGGAAAAGTTGAATTGATTTGTCATTTTATTTAACAGAAGACCAAACTTCTTAGGCAATTTATACACCAAAAATCAAATCACAATAACAACAATACCTTTTCCTCTCACTTCCATAACTCGTTCATCCCTATATCTCAGGTTCATGAGCGCATTTCCTGGAGTCGGCTTGTCTACCCATATTGAGAAGCGCCAGATTAAAAACTCAAGGAATGCATCAAGCTCTGGTTCATATTGAAATAGAATCCCTGGCTAATTCCAACAAGTGAAAAGAATAGACAAATACACAAACCCAAACAAGAAGCCTTAATTTAATCATGCAACTATATATGATACTAATAAATCTACTGTCTAGTAAAGTAATCAAAGAAATAGATGCTAAGTAGATACCTTCATCAAAGAGAATACTTTCACCAACTGCTCTTTCAACATGGCAGACATCTCAACATCCAGTCTTGCAGCATCAAATTGATTTACTCGGGATATTGTAATTGGAATCATCTGCCACAAAGTTCAAAGTTCAAACCATAGTTAATAGTTTAATACAAATCACCAATCCATCATAACAGCATATTGTGGAACAGGAAATTTGTCAATGGAAATGATAATAGAAAAGGCAAACCTACACAGAAGCACCTATAGTCATTAACATGTGTATGTGAAATGGCTTAAAATCATGTACTTTTCTAATTACAATGGACCAAAGTGACAATAATCAAAATCTCATATCAATACCAAACCAAAATGGATCTCGTAAATACAAAGTTTACAACCAAGAGTAAATAGCCATCCCCTAAGTCTCTAACTTGTCAAAGACAAAACAGGATTGATACCAAAGAAATGATCGCAATGTTAAAGAAAAAACAGCCTCCCCATCCCAAATTCATCTTTCCACTTTCCATTAATGGTAACCCGAATTCATGATCTTTCTCCACCAAATCCAACTCTAATCACTGTAATTTGACATTTTATCTTACAAATTTACTTCTCTTTATCCACTAAAATAAAATTATTCTATAAGTCTTCGTGCTATTCGAGGAAGTAACTTAGTGATACAAATCAAGGCCTCTAATAAAAGCAAGGCTATATCTTATGTGAGACACTACTATGTAATATACTCCATCAATATCATGTATATACTCTAATACTCCAATTAAGGCACCTATATTCGCCGCGTTCAAACTTGGAAAGCTCATTCCTCTCAAAACAAATCGAAACTCGAAATGGCATGCCTTACTAACCATTTAACTCAAGCACAAGATCTGAAAACAGTACTTCTACTGAGCAAGATAAGTGGGGGCAGCACAAGAATTGAACATGCATAACCACATATCAAAATCAATTCAATGAAAAACAATTATACTGCTCATAAAGTAATTAAATTATAGAAATTCCATGATTACATAATACTAACCCAAAACTAACAACAAATTACATCTAGAAACCCCCAATTCCAGCAAATAAAACATACAAAATTCATATTACCATATTTTAGAAATGAATTAAAGCTCAAAATTCGTCAAATTGAGAAATTGAAATTAGAGAAAACCTGGTGAGCGAGAGGAAAGGAATTCCATTTAGGGAGAAGTGTTTTGTAAGTAGTGATCCAAGCATCTGGGGAAGGAACTTGAGAAATTGAAGATGAAGCTAGGGTTTGTCTGTCCATGAATTTGATTCTATGTCAAATCAATTGGGGAAAAATGCGGTAGTTATTAGAGGATTTATGAAGATGATGTGAGAAAAATGTCGGTTTTTTTGCGGTTCAACCGTTCAATTGAACAAGAGAACAAATGATTAAAATGAAGGCCACCTCGGCTGACTTCAAGTCAATGGGGTAGATTGACTTGATGACCTCAACAAACAAAAATTTAATGAAACTTTTGAGCTTACCACTTGCAACCGCAACTACGTTCGGGTCGGTTAATCTTGTGTCCAAATTCACAAAATACGAAAATAATGTCAGATTTATTGAGAAAAAACAAGTTTTTTTGGATTTTTCGAGGTAGGTTTGGATTTTAAACTAAGAACGTAGCCTTAGCCTTGTCCAAATCAGCATCTTTTTTCAAGTCAGGTCGGATCGAATTAGCAAGTCAAGCCATTAATATCACCTTTAGTATGTATTGTCGAGTTAGGTTAAACCCTCTATCTAATCCACAACTAATGGACCAAAAAAAACTGTGAAGTTAGAGTCTAGTCAGGACCTTCTCCTTACCTTACAAAAATAATAAGGTATAACTGTACAATTATGTACTCCTTTCATTCTAATTTGTTTGCTCCATAAGGTAAATATGTTTTTACTAAGTTATATGATGGGAACTTCATACTATATATGAAAATGGGAGAATTTTTAAAGGACGGCTCAAAATAGAATTTGAGGCTAACAAATAAGAAAGGATGAAGTATTATGTGTATATGTGTATCTAAACTTCTATCAACTCCCAAAGACGTAAACCCATTACTAGAAGGGGCAAATGGTTCACTAGATCAGTTTCGGTTGCTTTTGGTCACTTTAAATAAAGTTTTGACCAAGTTTATGATATTCATGGAATAAGGAAGGTCTAATAATATATTAGCACCCTATTTCTTAAACTCTCTTTTATTGTTAATAATTTGTGTAATTGCTTGTAGAAATAGAGGAGATAGAATTGAAGATACAATTCTTAAAGTTTGCTATTTTTTTTTATTTATTTATTTTTTTTATTCAATAAACTTGATATCATTTCTTGTTTGCTTTATAATGAGAGAATTACGAATAAAAACTTGTAAACAAAAGTTCAATGTTAGAAAATGACTCTTTACAAATTACAATTGAGCTCCTTTGACAATAACCATATAATTATACACTACGTAGTGATTATCATGAAATAGGGGCATAGATAGGGCCATACCTGCATACAATTGTGTTACATAACCTTGTGTAAATACTATCCAAAATGAACAACATAAGATACTAAGATCACATATCATCCCATGATTTACATCCTTGAAACAAAACCCTTAAAAATTACATCTTTCAATCTACCAAAAGGATACAAAAATGCTGATCTTATCATAAAGGGAGTATAAAATATTCGAGTAGTGTACCTAAAACGTCTAAAAACAAAAAAAAAAAAATTATCAATCCCATAGACATAATAAAAGATAAAACCGCAAACTGAATTAGCACCTCGGCTCATGAACCACACACTAAACCCCAACTCTACCCAAACAAGCATTAAGATACACCTCAAGATCGACCTCAACTTCTCTCCCCAAACTCTCCTCTCCAAACCTCTTAAGCCCTTTACTCAAAACCTTAGCCAAATACTCATCAACTTCAACACCCGAACCACTACACCCCCACCCACATTTCTTCATAACCCCATAAATCCTAACCATTGATTCCCTCCTCTTAGCCCCAATCAACGCCTTCACCAACCTACTCAACCCCTTCTTATCCTCCCAATTAATCCCCCCTTTCCCACCGTCGATTTCCATCTCCAACCCCTCGATCAAACGGTCAATATCTTCCTCCATTCCACCCATCTTATCCAAAGCTAATACCAAATCAGCGTAAAGGGATAGATCAGTCTTGTACCATGGTTCTGATCGGACGGTGGAGAATACGGTTAAAGCGAGGTCGCAGTGACCTTGTCGTAGAAGCTCACGTAGAGTAGCAATTAGGTCGGCTTTGATTAAACGTATGAGTGTCTTGTTAAGGGTTTCTTGGACTGTTCCGGTGGATCTTTGGGCCCGTTTTAGGGCTTGGACTGCTTGGATTGCTTCTGTGCTTAGTACTCGGCCTTTTACTAGTGGCCCACGGTTGTCTCTTGGCCCACAATAGATGGTGGGCCTGGGATTGGGCTTGGAGAGAGAAAGTTGGGTGGTGAAGGGTGTTAGTTGTGACGGAAGTAGGGTGGTTGCCATGACTCAGGTTTTTCTGGAGTTTTTTTTTGGGGGTTGAGTTTTGTTTCTGGGTTTTATTATGGAGGAATAATTGATTTTGATAGAGAAAAATTAAAAATATGTGAAATGACAAAAATGGGTCTAGGAATAGAAAATGAAGGAAAAACAAAAAGCGTCGATAGCAGGATTCGAACCTGCGCAGGCAAAGCCCAACAGATTTCGAGTCTGTCTCCTTAACCACTCGGACATATCGACTTTGATATCAAAACCGTCTAATTTGTTGATATATTACCGACGGATTTGAACTATGAAACTAGTATGCTTATATCCATAGTTCCAACTTTATATTTATGCAAACTTATGAAACTAGTATGCTTATATCCAATATTAGGCCCTAAAATTTGGGAGTCCATCGATCATCCAACACCACCCAAGAATCGGCACTGATCGCAAGTCACAAAACGTTCTTTATACATATGTTTTAAACGAGGAATATAAATACAGTAAATGTAAATGGGTAAATTATTTAAATTAGCTCGATTGCTTGTTGTAACAGCCAACATGAGAAAGTGATCGGGTGCAAAATCATTTGGATAACATCATAAACTGATAAACTGTGTGTACAAATTTTTGATTTAGGCAGACTTTCATTAAGTTATTGTAAGACAAGTTAAAGTTACCTTAAAAGTATTTAAAACTGCCCTTATACTTTACACAGTTAACATTTTCCTAACATAAATTTTACTCTTATAAAACACTTATAATGTATTAGATTATCATATTATTATATTAGCCTTCATAACATGTATTTATTAGAAATTACACATTAAAATACAAACTCTTAAATAGATCTGGTTCACACTAATTTATTGTGGACTACTAATAGTAGAGACACTATGGTTGTTTTATTGAATAAAAAAAAATCACTATATTAAAATAAAGGTTATTATGTTGAAATAAAAGTCATTGTGGCATTATTATAAAGGCTAGCTATAAGAGGTTAACTTCTTCTTTTTATCTAATGAAATTTTTTATATACTAATTAATATGAATAATAAACGACACTATGTTAAAATTAGGGTCACTTTGTTCAACATAACGTGTACTTCATGTTGACAATAATACTACCTTCGTTTTTTTTTATGTGCAACTTTTGCCATTTTAGTCCGTTCACTATTATGTGCAACACTACTAGAAATAGGCCGTTTTCCGACGGAATCATTCCGATGGACCTAAATTCCATCGGAAAATTCGAACTTTCCGACGGAATTTTGGTCTGTCAGAAATATCCGTTGGAAAAGATAAGTTCCGAGGGAAATTCCCTCGGAAATAATCCGACGGATTTTTTTTCCCTCGGAATTTACTTCTTTCGACGGAATATTCCCTCGGTAAATATCTACCGACGGAAAATTCCGTAGGTAGCTGTAAATTCCGAGGGAAAATAAATCCCTCGGAACGTATTTATTTCCGACGGATTAATTCCGTCGGAAGATTGCGACGGATTTTACCCCTTTCCGACGGAATTTTAATAAAAAAAACAAAAAAACCGGAAGTCCATTAACCCCCCTGATTCTCTTTCTTCTCCTTTTCTCCCTCCTGACCTCCTCCTTTTCTTTTTCTCTTTCTCCTCTCATTTTCCCCTTTCGTTGTCTCCTCCTCCCTCCTTCCCCTCTCTCCTCCTCCCTCCTTCCCCTTTGTTTCTCTCTCCTCCTCCCTCCTTCATATCCCCTTCATTTCTCTGTCCTCCATCGCAACCACCACTGCGCAACGAAGCCGCCTTCGTTTCTCTGTCCTCCATTGCAACCACCACTGCCCAACGAAGCCGCCACCACCGTCGGTGTGCAACAACACACCACCACCCGGTTTTTCATGTTACATTCGACCATGAAAACCCTAGATCTAGAGTTTTCATGGTCGAATTTGACCTTTAAAACCTAAATTCAAGCTAATTTAGGGGTTTTGAAGGAATTCAAGGTAAGTGGTCGAATTATTATTTCGTTTAATTTTCGTTTTTTGTGATTTTCGATGTTTAATTTTTGTAGATCTAATTTTCGATGTTTATTTTTCGTTGATTTTCGGTTTTTTTTGTTTTTCGATGTTTAATTTTCATTTTTTTTCTTTTTCGATGTTTAATTTTTTTTTGCGATTTTTAGGGGTTAATTGTTATGTTGTTTGCGTGGTGGTGTGGTGTGGTGTGGTGGGGTGGTGTGGTGGTGTCGGTGGTGGTGGGGGTTGGTGTATTGTGGTGGTGTTTTGTGTGGGTGGGATTGTGGTGGTGTTTGGTGGACTGTTGTTGGGGTAGTTTCGGTGGGGTTTGGTGTGGGTCGTGGTGTTGTGGCGTCGTTGGTGGGTTAGGGGTGGCTGTGGGGCGGATTGGGGTGTTGAGCAGGGGAGGGGGGAGGTGGTGGATCTGGGTGGGTGGTCTGAATATTTTTTTATTTTTTTTTTCCCAGATTTTCGACGGAAATTCCGTCGAAAGAGAAGCTCCTTCCTACGGAAGCCATGTTTCTTCCTACGGAATTACGTCCATCAGAACCTTGCGATGGACTTCCATTTCAGGTCAAACGTAGGCTCCGACAATTTAAAATTCGTCGGAAATTCCGTCGGTCGGGCCTTTAACGACGGAAAATCCCTCGGTATAAGCCAAAATTCCGACTAAGTGATCTCCGACAACGTGTTCCGACGGAATTCCGTCGAAAAGGGTTGTTTCCGACGGAATTAGAAGGTATACCGATGGATTTTTTCCGTCGTAAATAAGGTGTTTTCTTGTAGTGCAACTTTCTTTTTTCATTCTATTTTGGATAAACAAAAACCCTTTAAATTACTATGTTACCCTTCATTAAAAATTAAAACCTTTTTACTTTTACCCCTTATTACCCATAAACCCCCACTTAACTCAAATCATCTAAATTACCCTAACCTAATTACTCCCTCCATTTACTCCTCCCAACCGACACAACTCTCCATCTTCCCAACCACCTCATTAAACTGATCTAGAGAGTTCTTTAGAACCCTAGATCTGGTTCTTTGTCTTCTTTGTGTTCTTCGTCTTCTTTGTGTCCTTCGCCTCTTTCCTCTCCATTCCACCTCATGACATCTCCCTTTCCCTCCCCTTTCCAACGAAATCCAGAGTCCCAAATTTCCATGGCTGACCTAGATCCACTCGTTGACGCCTATATTGGCACCGACGACAACAGTGAGGCTAAGTTTATCAAGTCCCTGATTAACGATTTAAACAGAGGTGATGATTTTCCTCGTCGCCTATACACGCATGAAGATGGGCCAAGCTGCTGTTCTCCGACCACATTCAAGGCTTTGGGGGAAGTTTTAAAAAATATTGACGAGGCGGAGAAGAAGAACAAGGATGAGGGTGAAGGCGAGTCCCATGGCCGAAAAAAGCTTGATTTTGATGTCGTTTCTATAGATCTAGAGTCCCAAAGTGGGGAGGTCAGTGCTGCCCACCCCCAAGCCCCGATCTAAGGCTTTCAGGCCTCCGCCAAAGAAAAGGCAATGTAGGAAGGCGGCGTTGGTGGCGCTGAGGCGTATGCGGGGTTTGCCGGACTCCGAGTTCGTGGTGCTGTCCTCTGATGAGGAGGTTGAGCGCTGACCCTTGCGTAACGATTTCTAACCCTAATATTCTTAATTTTTTTTTAAAAAAAAAGTCCTAATTTTTGTTGGGTTGATATATGCTGGATACTTTGTTTGCTGTTGTGGGAATGTTTGACTGAATCTGGTTGCATGTTAGGTTGTTGGTTATGTGGAATCTGGGGATTTAATTGTTTGTTGTGTTGATCTATTCTAGATACTAGGGTTTGCTGTTGTGGGTATGTTTGACTGGATCTGGTTGCATGTTGGGTTGTTGGTCATGTTAAATCTGGGGGTTTAATTGTTTGTTCTGTTGATCTATGCTGGATACTAGGGTTTGCTGTTGTGGGAATGTTTGACTGGATCTGGTTGCATGTTGGGTTGTTGGTCCTGTTAAATCTGGGGGTTTAATTGTTTGTTCTGTTGATCTATGCTAGATACTAGGGTTTGTTGAGGAAATTTCTGTCACCCTGGATACTAGGGTTTGTTGAGTGTTTTAATTAATGTTGTATCTATTGCATGTTTTGTTGTTTTGTTGGAATAATGTTGGATGTTTGATGTTGGCTTCTGGTTGATGTTGCCTGTGTGGAGTTCATTGTGTTGTTGTTGAATTGTATGGACTATGTTAGGTTATGGTTTATGTTGTCTGTGTGGAGTTGATTGTGATGTTGTTGATTGGCATGGACTGTTTTGGCTTATTTTGGATGTTGGTTGTGTGTAGTTGATTGTGTTTTTGTTGATTGCCATGGTCTATTTTGGCTTATGTATGATGTTGGCTGTGTGGAGGTTCATTGTGTGGTTGTTCCTTGGGATAGACTATGTTGGTTGTGTGGACTTGATTGATGAATGATGAGGCTGGTATCTTGTGCATGTTCATTGTTGCCTAGTCAGTCCCTTAAAAGGAGTCCCCTGTGATTAGCTTGTGTTTCCTGGTTTGTATTGAGTCCCATAGTTTGATATGCTCTTTAGCTTACCCATATCCACATGATGAAGGGACTCCATTGAATTTCACTATGCACAAGTGAATTGCTCCATCAACATGCATAATGATGTTGTTGTTGAGGTACCCTTGTGCATATGTGTAGTATTCAACAATGACACTATAACCTCTGATTGATTGAGTGCCCACATAAATTTTCTATCTTTGTCATTCATATTCCATTAAAAATGTGGGTACAAAAGACAATACCTTTGACTAATGAACATAAAACATTACAAAAGACCACATCATAATCTAAAGACATTTGTAATACTCCGTATTTTTATGTATTTTATAAATTATTTTATTAATTATAAAATATATTTTTATAGTACTCAAGTATTTTAATTAAATATTTAAAGGGCTAAAGTATTTAAATTATTGAGTTTTATAAAAGTATAATCTATTTTGGGCTAAACGTTTATTAATCGTTTGGGCTCTTTTAAATAATAGTATT